AACAAAAAAAAGGTCAAAGGTATAATTATACATATTGCTTGATTACTGTCAGGGACTTCTAAAGATAGTCTCCATGAGCGTATACTAAAGTAGTATTTCCAAATTAGAGAATTACGTCAACAAAGGATGACCTGTGTGCTACTCTAAGATATATGTTAATGTTTCATTTAGTAGTTGTCTATGTGTTTTATTGATTCTAAACACTATAATTTGGTATGAACAACCATTCTGGTGATCTTTGGTTATAAAGCAAATGATATTTACCTCCATATCAAGGCACCCAGCAATATGATTATAATATAACCAATAATAGATTGTTAAACAGGGCATTCTTGGGGCCGGCCTGGTGGCATAGTGGTTAAGTTCATATGCTCCACTCCGGTGGCCCAGGGTTCACTGGTTCGGATCCTGGGTGTGGACCTACACACCGCTCGTCAAGCAATGCCCTGGCAGCATTCCACATACAAAATAGAGGAAGACTGGCACAGAGGTTAGCTCAGTGACAGTCTTCCTCACTACAAAAAAGATTAAAACCTGCGCATTATCTCAAAATCTCGACACTAACCATAACTCATAGACCCGTCATTCTCCTAAGAAGGAAGTTGCTGTAAATAGGTTAGACCAAGATCTCTTTAAAGAGCCTGAAGAAGAGAAATGCTTATGTAACAAAATAACAATAAACTACCACAACAACTGAGTGCTTATGAGGTGCCAGGCATTCTGCTAAGTACTCACATCTTATTTGCTTCTGGGAATCAAGAGTAAAATATTCTGACATTTGGCTGAAACAAATGGACTCCTAGGTAGAATTGCTACATACAGACTGTAAATAATAATAATAATATAATTAAAGCCTTATTTATAATGTGTCAGCTATTCTGCTGAGTGTTTCCTATCTATGATCGCACTTAATCATCTGTGATTGCACTTAATCCTCACAATTGCACCATGGGACCACTACTAATATCTTCACATTACCAATTGGGAATCAAAGCTCTGAGATGATAAAAAACTTGCCCAACACAGATGTTAGCTCGGGGCCAGTCTTCCTCAGCAAAAAGAGGAGGATTGGCTGCAGAAGTTAGCTCAGGGCTAATCTTCCTCAAAAGAAAACAAAATAACCTGCCCAATATCACATAGTTTGTAAGTGTCAGAGTTGGGACTCAAACCCAGGCCTTACTCAAAGCCAATACCTATAAATGTGGTAGTATATTTATAACCACAATTTGCTATAACCTGCCTCCTCTAAATAGTAGCTTGCTAGGATTGCAGCATTCCAGTGACTTCTGCCCAGAGAAGTCCACACCAAACAGCACGGAAAAAGCCAGACCCTTACTTCTCTCTCCTAAGCATTTGAGATCTATAAAAAATAAAAATTCAATACTTGTAACAGCTTGTGAAAGAGAACCATGCTTTATTTATAAAGGCAATGAGATATTTAATAAATGTTTTCCTTTCTTTGTTTTTCTTGCTCCTTTATTTTAGATTAAGCCTCCATACCTCTCTTTCATGGGTACTATTATATACCACTGTGTGATCTTAAAATATCTGTTACTTAATAAGAGCAGTATTGAAATGAGAGGATAAGACATCCGTGATTTAACAAGGGACAACAGGATCCAAATACCAATTGTCCCACTAACAAGAGAGAGAGATGTTTCCTACTTTTGAAAATACAAAAGTGGCAATTTTGATCTTAAGCGCAGGCTTCGTTCGATATTCATTCATTCATTCACTCATCAGATATGTTTATTGACTATATACCTGGCTTTGGAATTAAGGTCTTAGAGAAGAAAGACGAAGACCCGGGTCTCGAGAATCTTATATCTTAGTGAATCGTAAGTACATTTCCTTAACTATGCATATTTAGAAAGAAATTCTTGGATTTTTCCCTGACTGTAAGAGAACCTCTCTGAAAATAGATGATTCAATCATACAAAATGTCCTGAGTTTGGTGTACTACTCGGGAGCCTTATGACAATGGTAATTTTCAATAAAATAATTGGCGTGAAAGTGATGCTGTGAGTTAGGAGTTTCCTGTAGCCGAGGTCTTAACGCGCCCTGGTTCATTAGAGGATTGTGTCAGAGAAGGTTGGGCTGAAGTTCAGGTTCATTCATTTTGTCTTCTTCAGGCTCCCTTCCCTAGTCACTTTCCATAGCTTTAAAGTGTCCCCTATTATTTTGACCAAATGTGCATCGTGATGGAAAGGACGTGATACTTTCAGCGGAATTACTTAATTAGGTTTAAGTAAGCAGGATGTGCCAAGTAGGGTAGGTTTGCTTTCTAGCCATAAAAATGTGCCTGTGATGCAAGCTGCGTCCTGAGGAGTGAAACACAGTGATTGATGTGATGATAAAATGATGAAGGGAAGGATAAAGCCTGAGAGATAAAAGTCTCAATAGGGAAATAAAGTAAGCTAGCAGCTGCCCCCATCTTAATTGAAGCATAAATTTTAGGAACGGGATCTGAGGTTTAATTTCAAGCACATATTGGGAGAGAGTTGCGTGTGTGTATATGTGTGTGTGTGTGTGTGTGTGTATGCCTATGTACCTCTGTGTGTGATGAAAAGCGAGTTAAATTCTTTCCATCCTTTGTATGAAGAATTTTCAAACCATTTCTAAAAAAGGCAAAAGTTTCAAATATAGAAGTTTATTGATTATCACTGAGACACATTCATTTAACCAACATTTAACAGAGACTAACAGAATCAATGATGGACAGGAGCTGTTCTAGACGCTGGTGATGCAACAGACTAGAAACCATACAACAGTTCTGCACTCACGGAACTGCATTTTTAGTTTATCTTTTCTCTGCACATACCTTCCTTGTCCCCATCCCCACCTTATGCCAGAATCATTTTCTTACAGTATAGATTAGATTACATCACATTCATTCTTCTAACCACCATAGCTGTGCATGCAAAACCCTCCAGTCCAGCCCCTGCCTCTATGCCCATCCTCTTCTTTCATTCCTCCCTACACTCCAGTGTCAAGCTTTCCATTTTCCAAGCATAACATTTATTTCTACACCATGATGATTTTCCAGACTATGCCCTGAGTCTAGAATGTCTTCACGCCCATTTCCCATCAATGAAAATTCTCCCCACTTTTCAGCTGTGCAGCTGAAATGCCTCTTAAGCCTCAAAGACCTTCTAATACCCCTATCAGCTTTAACAGTCCTTCATCCTAGTTTCTGGAGAGTTTTGTTTCAAACATATCATTCACGTTTTCGTTCATTTGTCCTGGCCTGAGCTACGCACACGTCTGCTCTACTTTGTGAATATGAACTACGTGAGGACAGGGCAGGCAGGGTTGCTAATTTGTTTCTGGCCACATACTGCTTTACATGTAGCCGACATCCAAAAAATATTTGGAAAGAGCAAATAAACGTGTAGCCAAAAAGTATTTAAGATCATAGGAGACTTTTCATGATGGAATCAGGTACTTCACTAAGTTCTCAAGATTTTATTTTCCGAAGACCTCAGAATAAGAACAGTTGCACAGGGGAGAATGTCCATCGCTCTCTGCAGAGAGTAAGGGACACACTGCACACACAGGTCCTGCTTAAATGTTTTTCATGAATCACCCTGGAGACTGCATATCCCTTTACATGGAGCACGCTATCATCAGAAGTGTTTGCAAAATCTCACCTTTTATATGCTGTCTTTATAGCTTCACACTCCTTCTATGGACAAGCATACAGTAATGTAATCCTGAGCTAGGCAACCCTTTACTTCAAAAGTGCTTTAAGAAAGAGAAATTGCTTTTAAGCTAAGGAACAGTGCAAATTTTTACGGCTTTGTTATAAACTTCTGAGAAACAGAATTGGGAAGCCTTGACACTCTTTTAACTTTATGGAGAAGTTAACATGCACCACTATAAAAACGCAACTGCCAGTCTTACAACAAAGAACAAAAATGAATTTAGAACTAATATAAACTATAAAACTGTAATGTATAAATTTTCTGTTCATTTTTAAAGAGTTAACCTTTAACTGGGAAAATGAATGAATTCACTGTCAAATCTTTTCTATCCAGAGGGTCCTGCTAAATTGTATGTTTTTATACAGAACGGTGGAATGCACTGTCTCTGTAGATCCTAATCAACAGGATTCATTTCCAAAGACTGTGGAAAAAGACAAGAACCTATGTTTTTTTATAATACTTGGATCAAAAGTACTTGTTGTACATTTTTTCTGTGTTGGTGACTTACGCAGTCCAGAAAGATAAGGTATTCTAAAGAATAAAAATATTTATCTCACCAATAGAGGAGAGCTCTTCCTTTGGGATAAGATAAATAACTGCTAATAATTGCACTGTCACATGATTATTTACCTTCAAAAGAGATTTGTTTTTAGCCCTCCTCTTTTTGTCTTCCTTCGTCTTTCTAAGTCTGATGTTCTAACAGGCAACTCTATTTTGTTGAAAATATTGAAATAAACATAATCAGGATGAAGTCTGTTTTGGATTCAGAGATTAAGACTTAAAAGCTTAAGAATATGGAAGTTTATCATGAAGAATTCTTGCTATAATTATTTGCTAGATACTAATGCTACGAAGCATGGAACTAGGCTGAGCCTTATTCCACAAATGCATCCTGCATTTTGATGTTTCTTTTATTTACAGACTGGCAAAACTCTTCTAAATGCGGGTAACCCACCTTGCCACTTAACAGGACAAACAATTTTCCACTAACTCAGTTCATCAATTAAGGATTTCTACCATTATTTGGTGATCTATACTATTTCAAACAAATTTGAAATTTGTGACAATTTGTGTTTTGCACTCTCATGATATTATCTTTTTTCCTTTCTTTCTTTTTTTTTTTTTTTGAGGAAGATTAGCCCTGAGCTAACTGCTGCCAATCCTCCTTTTTTTGCTGAGGAAGGCTGGCCCTGAGCTAATTTCCAACCCTTCTTCCTCTACTTTTTTTTATATGTGGGACACCTACCACAGCATGGCTTTCCAAGCAGTGCCATGTCCGCACCCAAGATCCGAACCAGCAAACCCTGGGCCGCGAAAGCAGAACGTGCAAACTTAACCGCTGCGCCACCGGGCCGGCCCCTCATGATATTATCTTATAGACGAATAAGCCATTAGAGGATTGAGAAGGGAAATTTATTAAACTTTAGAGAATCAGTTATTTTCAAGCTTTTTAGAAGTTCTCATTTTTATATCCAAATCATTATCTTAAGATATAATTTATTGACTGAGTTCCATTTACTTTATTTTCAGAAAGTAAAAAAAGCCAGATTTGTAAAAAACTTAGAGTGACAAGTGACTTAAATTAATTCCCCTCCATTGTTTTCTTAATTAATAAATTTTACTCCTACTTTCTGTGTTTATAGTTGAACTTAAAGAAAATCTTGTTTTGGGATGTATAAAATGTGAAGACATTGTAAAAGCTTTGATAATCTTAAAGTCAGAGAAGAAGAATATCTTGTGATTTCCCCAAGTAATTGTTGATAACAAATTTAAATTATGTCAGAGAGGAGAAAGCAAGTTAAAGAGAAAGATAAGAAGATCCACCCAAACTGTGGGTAATAGTTGAGAATTGTTTCCCGAATACAACAGACAAAAGTAGGGAAAAAAAGTAATTGAGTAAGAGTATAATATTTTAAATTCTAGGAGCCACAATGATAATAGAGTATGTCATTATATCACCATTTTAAATAACACTTAGATGAGCACAATTTAGAATGATAAATACTTTCAAAGAAATAAAAGGCAGAATAATAGTATAATTTTCTAAATTGGAGTAACCTTGAAACACACAGTATTTGTAAAAGCATATGCTATGAACTGATCCAGTTCTATATTGCATAAAATATAAATGCTTAAAGGCAACACTTTGCCTACTGTGCCTTCAAAAGTACAACTGTCTATTCTATTATAGTTCAGAGTAGTTACTTAAGGAGCAAATCTCCTTAGCTTGCAATGGCTACTGCATTAAACCAGCATCCACAGTATTCTTGTGTCTTCTTCATGTGTATCTTAAAATAACTCCTCTTTCCTCTTGAGAGAAAAAAGGACTCAATTATTACTATACACGGTCTCCTGAATCCAAGGGAGCACAATTCTTCAACAACCTGTTCAGTGAACTTTGAAAACAAATAGAAAAGCTATACATTATTCAATACATCTTGGCAGCACACTAATGCCCGTAGACCAAGTGATAAATGATCAGGTGTCTCTTTAAAATCTTACCTGGTTTACTCTTTTTAAAAATCCAACCCTTGCTGTCTACCATGCAAAGCTCTTGGCCACTGGGTGAAATCCAAACTGGGTAGCTGATCATGATAATTCCAACATGTCATGGGTAGCAGCATCTCTCAGAGTCCCACAAGCCAGTTGCTTGAAATGAACCTGCAATGAACAAGATATTTCTTCATTTTAATTGAAAAATAGTGAACCATGTTCTAGGTCCAGGAGGCGCCACTACATAATCAATAAAGGAATCATAAAGGAGTGTGTGAGGGGCTGTAAACGCCTCTCAAGATGCTGATAGACGTTAAAGCCAGAAGACTGAGTTTATGTGCTACAGAAGATGATTTTGCAGAATGAATGTTCCTCTTCACGTTATTATTGATCTATTTAAGCTGTCCGTATAAATAAACATTATTGATATTAAAACTCACAAATTTTATAGTGTGTACCCCTTCTTCTTCATGCTGGTGTCCACTTGGAGTACTAAGAGTATTTTTCTGACTCTACCCATAATACTCTCAAGGTAACTGGGCAAAACCCATCAGCAGCTAGAGGAAAACCCACATGATGGTCCAGATCAAGGACAGTTTCCTTTGTGAGTTCTGACACCTCACTGCCAACATTCCCAGTATAGAAATTGCATCATCTCTGTAGGACAGTGTTTGAGAAATACCCTTGAGGGGCTTATGTGAGGTGCTGCCAATTCCGCAGCACTTGCCATTATCCATTATCCATACATCCACTATCCATATCAAGATACAAACTGTAATACAGTAACCAATTGCACTAATACTTGCCACACAAATAACGCTGTTCAAGAGAAATTTAGAAAGATATGAATGAAGAGATTTGTGGATTGGTCTTCCCAGGGTAGCCTTCAATAACTACTAGATATTTTTTAGCTGCAACAACCATATTGAGTTATGCATATACAAAAACAAATTTATTGTTATTATTTTCTAAGTAGTGCAACAGAAATGGCTGAGAGGTTATTCTAAATCTGTAGGGGGACTCATGTGAGTGATTACGTGATGCAGATTCATGGACACAGGTGCAAAAACTGATTTTAACAAGTCACAAAATGATATATCCTCATGCACCTGTCATTAGAGCTTCAAGTAGTCCCAGAAGTCAATGTGGAGACTTTGTTAAAAGACACAGTAATGAGATATCCTATTGTGCTATTTCAGCAAGAAGGGTAAGATGGCAAGGGGGTAAAGTTGAGTACATACCCAAGACTAAAATGCAACACTTCAAAATAAGTCCTGAAAAAAAGAGACATATATACCTGGACCCAAATGACCATTCTGTGATACAAAACAGGAGTGTTATGGTGCTATCAGGTGCTATCACTGATACACATAAATACACACACACACAAATACCCAAGCACAAACAAATGGCTGCAATTTTCTAATCTATTGGTCCAAGCTCTGGTATTCATTAAGCTTAAACCCTTAGTCAATTTCTGGATGCAAAATGTTTCTATTCATGCCAAAAATTATTTTACCTCTTTTCTTCTTTGAAGATACTCTGAAAATTATCAAATCAATTCTATTATAAAACAAATCTATTTTCACAAGTGGTAATCTTTTTCAGTCTCTCAGCAGCCATGCAAAATATTGGGAGAAGTCATATACCAGTGGAACAAATGACAGAGAAGTGTTTATAAACATAATTTCCAAGCTCCCCAACTGATTTTTAAGTGAAGACTTTTTGGAAGCTACTTGCTTTGGAAGCACCCATCTGTGCCCTAGTGTGACTTCTCATACTTTAAAAGAATGAAAGCAAGGAAATCAGCATAAACACTTGTGTTCTATGGCTTTATTTCCTTATACAGAAACAACGCTATTGATCCCTTCTTTGTAGGGATAGGTTTTGCGTATTTTCTTTTTTCAGTACTGATGGTTTTCCACTGATCATTGATCACTGATTTATCTATTAACCCACTTATTCATTCCACAAATTTTAACTGAGCACCTCAGTTGTGCCAGGTATGGAATTAGGTGCTCACATACCTAATGTGAGAAAATGAAAACACACATTCTCCCCATAAAAAAAGATTACCATCTATTCTATTCTGATCTGTTGAAATATATTTGTAAACAAGAAAGGTAGCAACATTAGACCACATCAAAATAATTGGCCTTATTTTATATCCCACTCACTATGTGACCAGAGTGTGACATTTTATGAAGTTTGTCAGTGAGTACAGCACTATAGGCCAAGGGCAAAGCTGCAATATAAAGTGACTGATTCACACAGTTGACTTATGTAAAGATTTTCCTAGCTGTGATGGTTTTGTGTTGTTATTAAGTCTTTCTCCATAAGCCCATTAACTGACTGAGTCAAACCGATTCCAAAAGTCCAAACACTTGGGTTCTAATAGTATACTAATATTTCTGGAGGCCAACATAGAGTCGGGGCCACCGGAATGTGTGCATTAGGCATCACAATACAACCCCCTGTGGTTTACATCACAAGTTAACAGATTTTTTTTGTGCCAGAGGGGCGAACACAATTGTCTTATACAACAAGTTGCTTCATGCAATGTTTGTATTATCATTCCATTTGTTTTCTCAAAGAAGATACATAAAATTAAATGAATGTATTCTTCTCAAAGAGACATCCATGAGGCGTTCATAGGAAGTACTAATTCCATGACATGGCTTTGAAACGTTATTCTAATACCAATTTCCAGAATGAAAAAAAAATGCTTAAAATAAAATTTTCCTTTCTCTTTCTTCAAACATGCTATTGAATAGGAACATGAAAACAAAAGGTAAAGATAATGCTTTTAAAAATATTCTTAGAAATTAAGTGATTTTTACCACAATCAATATGGTTTCCAAATGATTTAATTTTCTTCTATTTTCTCATCTTCTATGTTTTTAATCTCTGCTTATTGCTGAGATGACTAGTCTGAAAACAAGCTTTTTAAAAATAAAGATAGTCTTATTTTTGAGAAACTTGTATTCTTTTAAAAATGAATTTTAAATGAGTGCATTTTATTGTATATAAATTATACCTCACTAATGTTGATTTAAACTTTTTTGAAATGAACTTTTGACAATGTTCAGTAGGTTCTAGACAGAGCACGGTAAACAGAACCTACTGATAAAATACTGTTGCACATGAATTTAAAACAAGCAAGACCAAAATAAAATTACAAAAAAGTAGAAGAAATTCCAACATTCACAAACCCTGTTTTCTTGTTCCTTTGTCCGGCCTTAAGTGCTCTGTAATTGAATTTTGGTCTTCTTTGTCTTTCTTTATCACACCACTACAACAACTCTTTTAGTTTATCATATTGCTCTGAAGAAAGCTTTCCAAAGGATCCCCCTCAGCACTTAGGCACTCATTTTATAGACTATTGATTTGTACTTGTTGATATGCTGCTCTTTAAACTTTATCTCAGGGATGTGCTTTGTCTTCCCCATGGAGCCAGGTTGCATAGCCCTCTGGGTAGTCAACAGAACTAGATGAGTGCTTAGCATTCTGTGAGCTCAGTGCATTTGTTAAATGACTGCTAGGTGCATTTTGCAAGCTTTGTATCTAAGTCACTCATTTCCTTTTCTTTTTCTTTCTTTCTTTCTTTTTTGTTTTTTGTGAAGATTGGCCCTGAGCTAACATCTGTTGCCAATCTTCCTCTTTTTGCTTGAGAAAGGTTGTTGTTGAGCTAACATTTGTGCCAATCTTCCTCTATTTTATGTGGGATGCTGCCAGACCATGGCTCAACAAGTGGTGCTAGGTCCATGCTCAAGATCCGAACCTGTGAACCTCGGGCTCCAAAGTGGAGTATGCAAACTTAGCAACTACACCACCAGGCCAGCCTGTAAGTCATGCATGTTCCAGCACAAACACCAAGAATATAAATGTCAAGAATGTATAAATAGGGAAGCTTTCACTGATCAAAGTTATGAGACTTTCTGCTTTAGAAATTTCAAATTTGTTCCCTTTTATCAATGGTGACACTGGAAAAGGGAGGGTGCCACCATTTTTTAGTCATGAAATTAATCCTCCTAATTTTTTTTTCTTCATTTAGTCAGACATAAAAGTCACAGATTATTTCCCAGCAGGGAGGGGTCATCAACAAGAATTGATATTGCTTCTGTGTGCCAGTTGCTATCTGTTTTATATGTACTTTCTTTTTTAATTTTCTCTAAATTAGGTAGCGGTAGATACACGAGCTATGTTTCCCTACTCTTTAGATTTTTACGTTTGTTTGAAATGTTTCCTTCGAAAAATAATCTTCCCTTATGACAAACCAATTTCACATTTTGAGTTCACACAAATGACCTACATTATGACTTTTTAAATATGTTTTTTCTATCTTTCTATCTGATGTTGGTTCCTGCATAAGAGGAGAAATGCAATTTCTATATAACGGATATCAAAGCAAGATTTCTTCTCTGTGAAATTCTGAGTCTTATCTGCATTTGTCATTCTGCACAAAAGATCTGTATCCTCGTTACCAGCAGCTGAGGACTTCTGCCATACAGCAGCATCTAATGTTTTTCTCACAGGGAGAGATCAGTCACTGCATTTCTGATCTTATCGAATGGACATGGCATTTCTTTGTTTCAGGTGCGAACTTTACTGGGGTGTCCATTCAGATCCCCAGAGCTGTGTGAAGCAGGTACATTTGTGGTTGGATCTGATGCACTTTAAGGACTCTTCAAACTCAGACATAACAATTGTGACTCACAAATCTGTTAACTCCAGACTGTCTAATCCCTTCTGGACTTCAGACCTTTTCTTCCAACCACCTGTGCTTCACACTCCCCGCCATCAGCAGGTACTTCAACCTCAGGCGATTCACAATTAAACTAAATAACTCCCTTCACAAAACCTCTCATTCTTTTTACCCTCTCTTAGATCAATGAATGGTGTCACCATCCAACAGGTGTAGAAACCAACTAAACCAATAAGAATAAAAACAAAACAACACAACAAAACACACAAACAATTATCTTTTCTTCCTCATGTCCATAGCCAATCAGCACCAGGTTGCATCTACTCAACCTTTTAAATATCTTCTGAATCCCTCTTCTTGTCCCTTTGACTGTGAAAACAACCTCCAAAGTGCTTTCCCAGCCTCTAGTCCAGGCTCCTCTAACCAATGCTTTCTGAAATATAAACCTGACAGCCATCACCAG